GGATCGCTTACCACTTGCTGTGCTGCATTTCCAGCCGATGTCAGGGTGGTTCAAGTCCCCCAGCAGGATGAGAGCCTGTGAGCGTGACGCTTCCTGTAGTTGAAATAAGAACGTTCTGGCAACATCCATCCTCGAGAGCTTGGAAAAGCCGCATCCCCTGGGCTGGTGGGCACCGTGCAACCCTTGGGCTGCCTGAGCACTCAGGCACAGACAGGGTTTTTTATGTGACAGTTATGGAAAACCCCGCAAATTTTCACCCATATAGTGTCATTAGATTTCCACTGGAGGTATCCCAAAGAGAGGGATGAGGGTGATCTGAGGAAACATTAACCTGATATCCCACTCAACTTCAGGGGATGCTCACACTAACCTGATAGCCCCCCCCCCCGCCCCCCTTCTTGGGATGCTCACCGGATGGCCTCCATCAAAGGATGGTAACTCCTCTGCAATGGAATGAGAAAGAACAGGATGAGCCATTGATGGTCCATATCAAAGTAACTCCCTTGTGATTGAATGGAAAGAAGACAGGATGGGCCATCTCTGGTATCTCTTGTCCTTGAGATAAGAGAGGAACTAAAACCACTGAGCCATAAAGACAAAGGAGCTGCAAACTAGCCCAGACTTGAAGGATGAGGTGCACATGACTACAGGACTGAGTTTGCACAGAAGTAAGGGTCAACTAGGGAGCATAGTGAAGAAGACTACGAGCCTTCATCTGAAGACCCCTGCCCACCACCACCAGGAAGCGCTGCGCAAGGGCGACGGGAGGAATTTGGGGTGGGGGGATATGTTATTGATTTCTTGGAACTAATCGTAATATTCCCTCCCTATCCTTGGAGTAGTGATGCATATGTATTAGAGTAGATGAATATGTTACTTTTTATACAATAAAAGGGACCCCCTTTTGGCTCCAGGTGGTGCATGTCTGTGGTGGAGTCATTCCCCGCTGTGCCCAGCGCTGAATAAACATACCTACTTTATAACCTTAACTGGTTGTAAAGTTGTGATTCCGTGCCACAAGGGCACCTTATGTTTTGGGTTGCCGTTAAACCCCAGAAGTTTGTGTGGTGCTAGTTTGTTCTCCTTTCAGAGACATTTGAACCTGCTGTTTGCATGTTTGCCAAGTGTTGACTAATTGTGTTTAAAAGTACATTTTATTATTTGTTGGTTTGAGAGTTTCCACAACAATTGGCATAGCCTGCAGGATTTCGATAGAGGAGTTATTGTAGAGGTACAGTTGTGTCTTTTGTCCCCTAGATGTATAATAGGTGAAGGAAAAGTGGTTTGATTTGATGGTAGTTGTGAGAAAGTTGTAACAGAGATATGGAAGTTTTGGGATGGCGGAAGTAAAGGAAATATGTGCACCATCTTAGGTGCCTGTTTGATTCAGGTGCAAGACTGTTTTGTAGTGGTGAAGAAAGAGAACTTAGAGAAACGACTGGAAACTGATGGTTTGAGGGTAGAATTGTTACAAGAGAGTGGGTGGTACGGAACACTGATTGCCTCGCTGGTGGACCCCAGCCCCCTTAGATCTCTTTTTAGCGGGGCTCCGAGATTTTCTAAAAACACCTGCCCAGTCCCTGAGGGAAAGGGTGCAAAGAGCTGTTGAATGTGACTAGCGAAGTTCTCCGCCCCCGTTGTGCAGGTATGAAGGTGGGCGGTAGCGCCTCACGGCCTGGTGGTTTGGGCCCCATGAGACGCGCGGCCGGACCCGGGGTTTGGCCTGGCCGGAACCCGGAAGTTTCAGCAATTTAGTGGGAAACTCCGGCCCGCGCAGCCTCCTGGAAGGGAGCCTGAAGCACTGCGGGATAGGTCATATCGATTTTAGGATTTGGGGAGGAATGGTCTTTGGCCGGAAGTGTTGGTACTGGGGGCACCTCGAGCAATGTTAGATAGGCAATCCACCGATAACATTTGGAAATTGGTGGAATTGCTGGCGGGGAGATTCGAGAATGAGGGGAAATGCCGGTGACTCTGCTCCCTGGGGAAGGGAAATGTAACCCTTTTGTGACATCGGGAGGGGAACTGAGAGAGTTAAAAGCTAGAGGTTGCTGTTTGGGGTTTGGGCTGCCCATTTGGCATGGTGAATTTGTATTAATGGTTTGTTGGTAAGGAGCTTTATATACATATTCTTGTGGGTCCCAGGTAGGTAACTTTAGAATTTTTAATTGATACAGGGCTCCAAACTAGTGTTTTAAATCGGCGGTAAGATTCTGAGTTAGGATTTAAATTATCAAGGAAGATTATAAATACAGTAGGTGTGTGTAATGGGGGTAATGGAAAAAAGTTGCACAGTGCAAACGTAGTTTTGGTTATTAGGGGTAAAAGAGGATGATAGCTGTGGAGGTGGCTTTAAGCCCTTATAAGGGAAACAGATTGGAGTTTGGTGTGTTGTTAGGTAAACAGTGGTGTTTGCCTGTGGAAGACGAAAAACATGTAGACTGCAGAGGAATTAATGGCATGAGACTTTGCAGTACAAAAGAAGAACAAGAAAAACAAAGGGCAACTAGGAGTTAAATCGAACTGCACGGATTAGCATCTGTGAAAGGGGACCAATTGAGCTTGAGCGAGTCCTGGGAACAAAAACCATTCAAAACATAAGGACTTGGCTCAGACTTTTAAATGCCAGCTGCATTCTATTTTTACATGGGAACAGAGCACCACTGGGGGAAAGAAGGGGCCTCCCCCTCTTTGGAAAGCATAAAATCACACTGTTTCTTTCAATAAATGACTTCGTTACTCTCGAGTGCTGAGGTCCGTGCCTTCAGTATACCACAAAACGCGCCCGAATCGTTTTTGGTTTTTTATTATTTTTTTTTTTTTTTTTTAGAAATGAACAGAAATATGACGAATGAAAAGGAAATTGAAGAATGAACATTCCCGGTGGTATACTCCTGAGCTGGACGGAGGGAAGGATATATTGAGTACTCATCAGAGGTTTTCATCACCGATCGCTGGATGACACAGGTGAGCAGCTACGGGAAATCCTACATAAAAAGGCATTATGGGGCAGTCAGCAACTAAGGAACAGAAACTGCATGCAGAGGTTTTATAAAGAATATTGTGGGAACAGCAATTTAAGGTCGCCCCATTACAGTTAGTAACGTTACTTGTTTGGATAAGTGATCATTGTCTGTGGTTTCCGGAGACTGGTTCTTATGACTCAGCCTTACGGCACAAGGTGGGCGAGGAGATTCAGGCTAAACCGCTTTTGCAGCTGGAGACCCCGGAAGGAATCTTGATAACACGGCGAGTTGTTTATAGCGCCTTAAAAACATTAATGCCTGCAGAAGTTTTGCAAGGGTCCTCCGATAAGAATGCTGCTGCGGAATCAAAAGAACCTGAGAGAAATGAGAATGTAAAGGTCAGAAAAGAATCTCAATCATTCAAATTAATAGACTCCGATTCTACCCATGAAAATGCAGAGGTGTCTGCTGAGTTGCCAAAAGATGAAAATTCGGGGATGAATGATCCTTTAGATACAGGGCAAATTAATCCAGGTCAGGAGGCAGACTTGTATCCACCGTTAACACCAGTAAAAGTGTTAGCAGCCTCCGCTCCAACTGCAGATCAGATTTTACAGTGACAACGGCAAACTTCTGTATTGCTCCTTTTTGTATTGAAACCACCTCTCTCTGTGCGTCTCCCCGCCCTCCCCCCGGCTTCGTACCAGTCACCCCTTGCGGCTGCAGTGAAGTGCGTACTAGAGGATTATTAGATTAATGTCATTTTGAAGCATTACAAAAGGGGGATATTTCTCTTTTACAAGCTATGCCAGTTGTTTATCTACCTCAGAGGCCTCCTGAATATGCACATTTACCATATGAAGTTATTAAGGAACTTAGCAAGTCTATAAAGGAGTATGGACTACAGGCTTCTTTTAAATGAACTTGTTGCAAGCTATAGCTAACTCCTATGTCTTGACTCCATTAGGTTGGAAGTCTGTTCTGAGACTGATTTTATCCGCTGCTCCATTTTATGTTTGGGCTTAAGGATAATATAGCTGCGGGAACTGCATTTGGAGAACAAGAGTTGCTAGGACAAGGCAACTTTGCTACAGGAGCGTCAGCCTGGTTTTGGCCACAACACAATCAACCACAATAACTGATACCAGTGTATCGTTATTATCAACAGGGATTTTTGGACCATTACCAGAAGGATTAAATGCTCTGTTACTTGGCAGGTCTTCTACTACTAGGGCCAGATTGTTTGTACTGCTAGGAGTGATTGATTCTGACTGTACGGGAGAAATCAGAATTATGGTGTGGTCACCCCACCCACCCTGTACTATACTGACAGGTGAACATTTGGCACAATTGATTTTCTTTCTCCATATAGTCGGTAACACTCGAACTACCTTACAGCAGAGAGGTGATAAAGGTTTTGGGACTTCTGGTATGCCAAATATTTTTTGGACAAAAAAGATTACAACTGGACAACCTATGTTAACCTGTATGGTGAATGGTCATGCAATAACTGGGTCAGTGGATACCGGTGCTGATGTTTCTATCATACAAAAAGCAGACTGGCCCCTTGAATGGCCTTTAATCCAAGCTTTCGTTGCAGTTACAGGAGTAGGTGGAACGCAGATACCATGGCAAAGTAAACATTCATTACTTATAGAAGGACCAGAGGGAAACCAAGCTGTATTGCAACCTTATGTATTGCATGTACCGTGCACCTTGTGGGGTAGAGATTTACTTCAACAATGGTGTATGACTTTGTCAACAAAATTTTAATGAGGGCCACTGAAGTCCAGCCATGACTTTAACTTGGTTTACAGATGAGCCTGTGTGGGTCGATCAGTGACCTTTGAAAGGAGAATGGCAGGAGCAAGCTTCTCTGTTAAGAGAGGAACAATTACAGGCAGGACATAGAGTTGCATCTACTAGTCCATTAAATACTCCAATTTTTGTTATTCCAAAGAAATCACAAAAATTGAGACTTTTGCAAGATTTAAGAGCTATTAATGCTGTTATGGCACCTATGGGAGCTTTGCAGCCTGGGAGACCTAGTCCAAGAATGATTCCTAAGAATTGGTATTTATGAGTCATTGATGTAAAGGATTGCTTTTTTATGATTTGCCTACACCATGATGATTGTTATCAATTTGCTTTTTCTTTACCTGTGATAAATAATGATCGCCCAATGTGACATTTTTACTGGGTAGTTTTACCACAGGGCATGAAAAATAATCCAACCATTTGTCAAATTGTGGTGAATGAAGCTCTTTCTCATGTCAGACAAACTTATAAGGATATAATTTTATATCGTTATATGGATGACATTTTACTTGCCACAGAAACACTAACACACCTGAATATTGTATCTGATTCTTTAACACGTGAATTAAGTTGATATGGTTTTCAAATTGCTCCAGAGAAAGTAGAAAATGTAGCACCTTGGAAATATTTAGGCTGGAAAGTATATGAATCTACTGTTTATCCTCAGACTGTCAGAACTGCACCCACGATACAAACACTGAATGATTTACAAAAGTTACTGGGAACTATTAACTGGTTACGTCCCTTCGTAGGGATAACCACACAGGAATTGTCACCTCTGTATGTTGTTTGCTTAAAGAGGATACTGAACTTACTTCAGAATGACGACTTACAGATGTCACAAAGTCATCTTTACAAAAGGTTATACAAAAAATTAATACAACATTTGCAAATTGAATACATTTGAATTTACCTGTTAGGCTATTTGTCATCTATCATAGGTTTCAACCATATGCTTTACTTGGACAGTGGAACTCTGAGGAGTACAATGAAAAATCATCTCTAATTATTTTAGAGTGGTTATTTCTTCCTCGCTCTTTTTCAGAAACGTTGACAACAGCAATTGCAATGCTATCTCAGTTAATTACTTCTGGGTGACATTGTTGTCAACAATTAACTGGAAACGATCCTCACTATAGTAATTTACCTACAACTAAGTATGATTTTGCTACCTTGGTTAGAGAGTGTCTTTTCAGACTGCAACGTCCAATTTTCTGAATATTGTCAAATACCACTTGTCTAAACACAGATTGTTACAATCTCTACAGTTTTTACCTTTACAGCCTCATTCTCTTTTAGCATCCTCACCTATCCCTGCAGCTCGAATGGTTTTTATTGATGGCTCCAGAAAAACTGGGAAAGCAGCAGTTGCATGGTTTGATTCTATAGAACATAAGTGGTTACATGATGTAAGTTCTGTTACAGGATCAACACAAATTGTAGAACTTATGACAGCAATTAGAGCGTTTCAATTATTTAATGCTGAACCTGTAAATATTGTAGTTGATTCTGCATATGTAACGGGTATTCTAATGTGCTTAGAAAATGCTTTTATCAAGAAAGTAGATAATAAGCAATTATTTCAATTCTTAGTTTTGCTTGCAGACTTAACTTAGAAAAAGAACTCATTTTTATTTTATTGTACATATTCATTCTTACAAAAATTTACCTGGACCTTTGGTTGAAGGAAACTGAATTGCAGATCAATTGACAATGGCTGTAAATATTACTTGTAAAACAGACCAGGCAAAAATTGCCCATCAGTTTTTTTCACCAGAATGCTCAATCCTTACGAGAAAATTTTTCTTTGACAGTGGAACAAGCACAATGTGTTATTCGTGCCTGTGAGGACTGTCAGCACTTAGTACCTCTTCCTTTATTACATGCTACAAATCCCCATGGTCTTCAAGCCAACGAATTATGGCAAACAGATGTCACACATATTCCATCCTTTGGAAAACTTAAATATGCACATGTTACAGTTGACACATTTTTGGGATTTGTAGTCACCACGGCGCACTCAGGTGAGAAAACAAAAGATGTAATAAGACATTTTTTACGATCTTTTGCCTCAGTTGGTGTACCTAAACAGATAGATGCTGATAATGGACCTGCGTATACTTCTCATAAACTGTTATTATTTTTTCAGGACCGTGGAATCACCCATGTAACAGGCATTCCTCGTTCACCTACAGGACAAGCAGTTGTGGAGCGCATGCATCACTTCTTAAAAACTATGCTTGAAAAACAAAAAAGGGGGAATCTCCTCCTTTCTCCACAAGAGAGACTAGATAAAGTGATGTCACTTAATTTTTTACATCTTTCTGGAATTAAGAATTACAAAACGGCAGCTCAAAGACGATTTCAGTTTGCTCAGACTCCTGAGATATATTTGAAAGTTTTTATAAACATGTAGAGTCAGGCAAATGGGACGGGCCTGTACCACTTTTAACATGGGGACGAGGTTATGCTTGCGTTTCTCTTCTTTCAGGTCCATATTGGATTCCAGCAAGGAGCGTCAAGCCTGCTCAGACGATTTTCAGAGACATCGAAGAAGATGTATCTCTGGACACATGAAGGATCAAGAATGAGAAAACAATGGTGTATGTTGTGTATATGTGTAACGTTAACATGGAATGTTCAGGTTGATGCAAATGTGTGCTGGGCGCACATTCTGGATCCTCCAGTGTTCCGATTGTTAACCTGATGGGATGCTTCTCCACCAATTAGTAGTAATGATACCCAATGGTCCAGAGGGGTATGGCTTCCTCCTGCTTCGGATACTTAAATGTTTGAAATGAATGAAACAACCATGGTAACAGATTTTCCTCCTATATGTCTCATTAATGCCAGTGATTCAGAATTTTGTTTAAGGATGCAACCACAACAACGTCTAGTAGCAATAAAAAGCAAGACTCGTGAATTTTGCAATTGTTACCATTCCTGGTCTATCGTTACACAATATTACTCCTATAAAAAACTCAGAGTCCCTGCACCCTTCTAGTTTTCATCATTCTTTAGTATGGCATAATGGAGGATCTGCAGGGTCTGTTCTTCAGTATTATTTTTACACTAATTCACAGCTATCTCCTGCACATACTAACCTTTGGCGTCTTGGCTCACCTTTTTTTCAGTGGAAGCTATATCAAGTATCTTTATATGATAGTCATACTAATGCTTACTTAACTTTGCTAAGAGAAGATTCTGTTACAATGAGCACTACTCACCCTTACTTGATTGTAATCGCACCTACTATTCACATTATTTTATGTAGTCATTCCTTTTGTGTGATGTTACACTCTCCCAAGTTTAAGGCATGCATAGCACATACTGATGTGATAAACAGTACATACATCTTTCTTTTACAGTGGCGTCCAGAGTTATGGTTACCTGTTAACACGAAACTGGGAAGGCGAGAATGGCTTAGCCCAATTTGCTAGGTACTGCAAGTCACGTTAGTTGTCACAATGCTTCAATTCCTCTGGTCAGCTCTTCGAAGAGTTAAAAAGGTAGAAGCTCGAGTTATGGCCACACTGGTTATAAAAGAAATGGTCATAAACAAAAAAGGGGGAGGGGTGGAAGATGAAAAACATGTTAACTGCAGAGGAATTGGCAGCATGAGACTTTGCAGTACAGAACAAGAACAAGAAGAACAAGGACAACTAGGAGTTAAAGTGAACTTGATTGAGTGACTCCTGGGAACAAAAACCACCTCATTCAAAAGATAAGGACTTGGCTCAGACTTTTGGATGCCAGCTGCAAAGGACCCTTATCTTCATTCTATTTTTACATGGGAACAGGGCACAGCTGGGGGAAAGAAGGGGCCTCCCCTTCTTTGGAAAGCATAGAATTTTCTTTCAATAAACGATTTTGGTACTCTCAGGTGCTGGAGTCTGTGCCTTCAGTATACCACATTTACCAGAGGCGGAGCGTGGAGTTTTGGAAGTAGGGGGACAAGGGTGTCTTATGTAAGAATTTTGCAGGTTGTTCTTTTATTATCATATTCTGAGGTAATCCATGTCTCAGTATTGTTCACAGTTGTTAAATGGGGTATTTAGAGGTAATTGGTGATCTTGAGAAAAGAGATTATAAATTGTATATGTTCCCCTTACGATTTTCCAGTTTGGCCAGTCCGCGAGACGGGCAGTGGGGGCTAATGATTACTGGAGATTGAATAGCAATAGCTCACCTTTAACAGCTACTGTCCTGAATATAACATCAATGATAACAGTGATACAGGCCGCCGCTTATTTGTGGGTGGCTGCTTCAGAAGTAACAAACACGTGGGTGTTGGTTTTTTTATGATTCCCCTAAGGGAAGAGGATAAGCCTCAGTTGGCCTTTACTTGGGAAGGGACATAAAATACCTTAAATTGACTCCCACAAGCATATAAGTATTCCCCCACTATTGCTCATAATGTTTTGGCCAGACTTCTTGATACAGTGGAAGTGTCGTTGGTTGTCCATATATCTATCAGCATGTAGATGACATCCTGGTTGGCAGAGATATTAAAGAAGTGGTTGAAATTATTTGGGATTTGTTCATTAAGGATAGGTTAGATATTCCACCCTCTAAACGTTAGGGTCTTAGGCCTGAAGAGAAGGCAGCAAGGGGGTGTTTGATATACTATATTATCTTCAGGCTAGTGGCATAGTTGAGTGGATTATCAGTTTGATTAAGAGACATGCCAATGTCTAATGACATAATTGAGATATATGGTTATCAGAAGAGGTTTTTATTGTTAATAACTATTGGGGAAATTATGGAAACTTAAAAAGAGGAGTATTGTGCCCTAGGGGAGTTACTGGTTATTATTTAACAATTATAAGGGCTGGTTCCCACTGAAGATATGTGTAGGCCAAGTTGTTATGATAATGTTATCTTCAATCGGCATTGTGCCTGTGACCCTCGTAAAACCTAGAGGGTTACATGTCTGGGAGGATTTAGATGAAGGTGGAAGAATTTACTGTATTAGTGCTGGATGGATAATCTCTGAATTTTAACTCGATGCCCAGGTTTTAATCTGAGGACTAGGTGTTGATCTTTTTGGGGGGGAAGAAGCGGATGTCTTCAGCATTGTTATGGGCGATGGTGACGGTGACCCACATGGACGATCGAGACTTGGATGACAACATGGTGGCGAATACTTCTGTGAATGTGGCATCTTTTAGAAGGTTGTGCTTGGACTTGGTGATATTAAGGTGGGGAAAGTGTTTTTATGACCTGACTGTATTAGTACCACTTTAAGTAATGAAGAAAGTGGTGAGAGATTTGAAGTCAATTGTTATTTTTTTAATTGATTGATTGGATATGTTCAAATCTTCCTTATTAGAATGGTTAGTTTTAACTTTGGTTGGAATAGATTGTACTGAAGTTTAAGTAGTGAAGTCCGTGTTGGAGTATGTGGGGGTTTTGTTTGGAGATTGATTTGTATAATTATTTAGAAACCATGATCCACAACAAGCATTAGAACTCACGGGGACTGAAATCCCTTTTAACCTTGGAGGCAAGAGGTGACTGTGCCACCACTTCAAGGAAACCAGCTGAATCATGATTGTGGTCATGGGGTGGATTGTGTGGCACGTGCATGAAAATGTGGCTTTGCGGCTGTTGAGCTTTTCTTGTGCCCTTGTTCTCAGGGCTTTGCTGTACTTGGAGACCTCGGCAAATAGGGGCTGGTATTGCCCACAGGTCAGATTTGGCTGGGGTGTAAATGGAGTCCCCGTGGGGAGCCATTTTCAGCTAGCCTTGACTGGAGCCACGGGCTGCAGGTAAGGACTCTCTCCTTGGGTTGGGACGCCGCAGAAGGAAACTCCTCGGGGCTCCTTGGATTGGGACGCTGCCCTAAGATGTTCCTCGAGGTTGAGAGTCCTTGCCTTTTACTAGGTGAGTGGTTGAGTGATTTTGGTTGGTGTCAAACCCCTGCTAACGTTCTGGGTTGAGGTTAAACCCAGGATAGCATTCTGGGTTGTCGTTAAACCCCAGAAGTTTGTGTGGTGATAGTTTGTTCTCCTCTGACGGTCATTCGAACCTTCTCTTTGTATGTTTGCAGAGTGTTGAATAGTTGTGTATAAAAATAAATTTTATTTTTTTATAATTTGTTGGTTGGAGACTTTCCGCAACACCTGCACAAGGGCAGGCCTTGAATTGGAGCCATCTCAAAAGCTTTTGTTAACCTTGCTGCACGTGCTAAACAGTCTCCCTCATGAAGGCTGTGGGAACCTGAGCTTGCAGTTCACAAGAAGCTGTGGGGAATGAGCAGTGCGTTCTCTGTGTCTGGCACACTGTTGTGGTGTTTTTGAAATAAACATGCAATATATAAAATAAATTTTATTGTGGATGCAATCGATTGGCACTCCAGCAATTATTCATAAATGGCAGGTCCAAAAGTCCTTGAGAGGAAGAACCCCCAACTTGTACTGAACTTCAGTTAGAAAAATTCCCAGGATTTAAAGGCAATCCAAAACCTCAACGGCAACATGCTGCTCCAGGGGGGACTAGCTTAAAATGGGCCCTCACAAGGGACTCCATTTATACCCAGGTCAAATCTGATCTGTGGTCAATGCCAGCTCCCATTGGCGGAGGGCCCCAAGTACTGCAAAAAGGGCGTGAAAAAGGAATCGGCATCCGCTGTGCCTCAAGAACCAGGAAGCCCCATCTTGGTCAGGGTGGGTGCACCTGTGTTGTGGTTTGATCTCTGAGGGCGACTGAGCACCACGCAGCCGCTGACTCCTACCTTCCCTCTCAGCCAGGAGAAGAGAAAAAGAAGCCAGGCTTGGGGATCAAGATGGGACAGGGAGGGGAAAATCACCCATTATGGTCACGGGCAAGGGCAGAGTCCTTAGGGGAAGAAATAAAAAGAACATAGATTTGTTACAGACAACACCAACAACACTTAACAGAGTAGGACAGTGAGAAGCGTTGCCACATCTTGAGAACACCTTCCCCCAGCCCCTCCCTTCTCCCCGCGCTCCCAATATCTCTACCTCCTCCCCGCAGCAGCGAATGGTCAGGGAATGGGGGGTGCCGTCAGTGCTGTGCAGTCATTGCTGCTGCTTCTTCCATCTTCGGTGGGGGAGCTTCTAGAATTTCTTCCCTCTGCTCCAGCGTGGTCCCCCTCTTACAAGAGACAGTCCTCCACAAAATTTTTCTGACGTGAATTCCTCCGATAGGCCACAGCTTTCCTCATGCTGCTGTGGCGTGGGACACTCCCGCATGCAGCAGTTCTTCCTGCGCTGAACTACAACAGCGGGGGCTACCTTCTCCCACAGGATCCTGGCCTTCTTTGGGCACAGTCACCTTAGTCATCTATGCGGAGCCCCTCAAAGGCCATAAATGACTGTCTGCTCCACTGTAGACCTTCATGGTTGGCCGGGGGGGGGGGGGCCGTCCTGCCCTCTCATCACAGGATATAGGAGGGTCTCTGCTCTGGCACACCTCCCCACTCCTTTCTTCCTCCGTTCCTCCACTGACCTTGGTGTTCATGCAGTTGCCGCAACTGCTCCTCACAAGTCCCTTCTTAAATACGTTACTTATTGCAGAGGTGCAGCTGCTTGGCTAGCCTTGGTGCAGAGATTGGGCTGAATTGGAGCCGGGGGAGCTTCGAGAATCGTCTCACAGTGGGGGTCTGCTGTAGCCCCCTCCCCTGCTCTCAAACAGCCCCACCACTCACTCAAACCCAGGACAACCTGCCACCATGAGGAATGAGCCTCGTGCTTGTACAGCAGCCAGAGCAGCCAGAGCCCCGCTCCGCAGTCGTGGCAACTGTCCCCTCTGCAGAGGGCTCCCACTCGCACAGCGTGGTACCCACCTCCCTGGGGTCACCCAAGGGCAATGCTGTTGGGCTCCAAGGCCTTGGTTTGCGTACGGCTCCCAAGGAAGCCACCTCAGGCTCCCTACGGCACACAGGCAATGCACACAGCTGTGGAGGGTGACAAATGATGCCCATTGCACGGAGAGGTCGGGGAGCCTTACTTACAGAATCAGCGCTTTGCAGAGCCCAACCGCATGAGCTCTTCTGCAAAATGCTCCCTGACTCTGTGGCAGCGGAGCTCTCAGCACCCTATGCCCGCGCTGACCCCAACCACGTGATGCACAGACACTCACAGATCATGCAGCATTTGTTCAAACATGACATTTATTGTCAACAGAAAACAGAGTAAAGCTCCCAGCGGCAGTGGAGTCTCCTCTCAAAGAGGGAGGGCAGTCACTGTCCAGTCCGGGCAGTAAGAGGAGTCTCTGTCACAAGCCTCCTTGCAACGGCCTCTTCAGCTGCCTCGGGTCAGACTCCCCAGAGTGTGCTGCTGCTGTGGAGGAAAGGCACTTGGCAGTTTGGAAGACTGGGGGCAAGATTATCTCCTCGGACATGTTCTCCTTGCCAAAGAGGAAGTAGTTGAGGTGTTTCAGAAGAAAGAAACCTGCAGGCAGGAGCGCAGGTAGGGGCCTGCATATGTAGGAGGAGCCAGTGCAGAGGGTGCTGAGAAGACTGGGGTCCTGGTTCCTCCTCAGCTCCTCCGCAGGGTGGTGAAGGAAGCACAACGTGTTCTGGTCCACCAGCTGCTCCACTCGGCATTGTCCTGGTTTGGGCTGGAACAGCGTTTTCCTGTTCATTTTGGCAGCAGGAGGAGTGCTGCAGCCCCCTGAGACCCCAGGGGCTCTCTGGGTCCTAGAGCCCTCACCTGTGTGCGGGGGCGGGGGGAGCACAGCTGGAGGGCTGGGCCCGGATTGGCCGATAGCCCATGTCATGTGACATGAGGCTCAGCTCCAGGTGGAAGGCGTGCCCATGGGGGGGCTGCAGGGGCACCAGCACGCGGTAGACAGCATCCTCATCCTCAGGGGCACTGCAGCCTTCGAGGGCTGCTGCGCGGGACCCCGATGGCTGG